AAAAAATCTGATGTGGTCAGCACATAACCGACCGCATTGTGCATTGTCTAGTTAAGTGAAAGTACTACAGAATATTATAAAAATGCCTGTTAATTACCTCTTTCCAATTTTTAGGACATTAGTAAGCTTATAGTTAACATACCTAGAAAAATGTAAATTTGGCTCTTAATAGAGTTTCACTTTGTGCCACCCGAATTCCCTAAAATTCTCGTCAGTTAGTTTCGGTAACAACCAGAATTCAAATATCAAATTTCAAGAAATTCTATCAATATGGTAGAATTATATGGTGAAAAATGTAGATATGGTGAAAAATGTGAAATCGGCCCGCAGATCAGTTTTCGAGCCCTGATCTTTCCAAAAAATTTATATGTTCATTGTTTTAATACGAAGAACCTCAATATTAAATTTCAATGAAATCGGTTGATTATTTCTCTTTATATACGCAAAAATGTATATTTGGCCCGTAGTAAACGACCAGTTGCTGACGTCTGATTTCTTCTAAAAGTTAGGAGGTTTCGCGGACGGTTGAGAAAAGCTTATATATGAAATTTGAAGTAAATCGGTTGAATACTTTCTTCAAAATGGTGAAAAATGTAAAATCGGCCCGCAAATCAGTTTTCGAGCCCTGATATTTCCAAAAAATTTCTATGTTCATTGTTTTAATACGAGGAATTCATATATTGAATTTCAATGAAATCGGTTGATTATTTCTCTTTATTTACACAAAAATGTATATTTGGCCCGTAGTAAACGTCTAGTTGCTGACGCCTGATTTCCTATAAAACATAAGAATTTTTGCGGACGGTTGAGCTGAGCTTATATATATAATTTCAAGTAAATCGGTTGAATACTTTCTTCAAAATGTTCAAAAATGTAAAACAGGGCCGCTAAAAAGTGCAGTTCCCGAGGCCTGATATATACCAAAAGTTGATCGACCCGTGCCATGGTGGAAACAAACTTACATATAAAATTTCAAAAAATCGGTTCAGCCGAACTTGAGATACACGCGTGCATACACAGACCGACAGACCGACAGACCGACAGACCGACAGACGGACATAATAGGTAGGTTATGTGATGGCAACAAATTTTGCATATCGAGTTTTCGGTGGGAACGTACTTCTCCATAGTAGGGAAGCGTAAATAAACTATTTTTAGCAACCTGTAGGTCTGTCGGTCTGTCGGTCTGCCGTTCTGTCCGTCTGTCGGTCTGTCGGTCTGTATGTGCACGCGTGTATCTCAAGTTCGGCTGAACCGATTTTTTTGAAATTTTATATGTAAGTTTGTTTCCACCATGGCACGGGTCGATCAACTTTTGGTATATATCAGGCCTCGGGAACTCCACTTTTTAGCGGCCCTGTTTTACATTTTTGAACATTTTGAAGAAAATATTCAACCGATTTACTTGAAATTATATATATAAGCTCAGCTCAACCGTCCGCAAAAATTCTTATGTTTTGGAGGAAATCAGGCGTCAGCAACTAGACGTTTACTACGGGCCAAATATACATTTTTGTGTAAATAAAGAGAAATAATCAACCGATTTCATTAAAATTCAATATATGAATTCCTCGTATTAAAACAATGAACATATAAATTTTTTGAAAATATCAGGGCTCGAAAACTGATTTGCGGGCCGATTTTACATTTTTCACCATTTCGAAGAAAGTATTCAACCGATTTACTTGAAATTTCATATATAAGCTTTGCTCGATCATACGCAAAAATTCCTAACTTTTGGAACAAATCAGGCATCAACAACTGAGCGTTTACTACGTGCCAAATATACATTTTTGCGTATATAAAGAGGAATAATCAACCGATTTCATTGAAATTTAATATATGAATTCCCCGTATTAAAGCAATGAACATGTAAATTTTTTGGAAAGATCAGGCATCGGCAACTAGACGTTTACTACGGGCCAAACATACACTTTTGTGTATATAAAGAGAAATAATCAACCCATTTCGTTGAAATTTAATATATGAATTCCTCATATTAAAGCAATGAACATATAACTTTTTTGGAAAGATCAGGGCTCGAGAACTGATTTGCGGGCCGATTTTACATTTTTCACCATATCCACAGAACAAATTGATGGAATTTCTTGAAATTTGATATTTAAGTTCTGGTTGTTACCGAAACTAACTGGCGAGCATTTCAGGGAATTCGGGTAGCACAAAGCGAAACTCTACTAAGAGCCAAATTTACATTTTTCTAAGAAACATTATTTTGTATGTATCACTTTTTATGTAAAAATATTTTATTTCAGAACTCTCTCTTTTTCATTTATTTTGCTAGGATTAAATTTCATTGCTTGTTTTGTTGCATGCAAAATAAAATCGCGTTTCAAATTAATTTAGAATAATTTTGTCGTATCTGCTAACATTTTGTCGTATGTGTTTTAAATTAAAAATTTTTTTTCGAAAATGGCATATACGATAAAATGATTTTGAAAAAAAATATCTAAAACTCAAATTTTTTTCACTACAAAATGTCTATTTGTTTCAATAAATAATGCTTAAAGATACATATTATAGTTTTCATTAATAAAAATCCCTAGTTTATCGGCTTATTTTCGAGAAATTCTCGTCCAAACTTCAGACTTGATTTCCCAAAATTCAATATTTTGGAGGACCGACACAACAGTGCTGGGGTGACGAATAGTTAAATCCAAGGTAAGGATATGCTGCAATTTTAATAGCCAATCTATGCCTTTTTATTTATTATTCTTTATTATTACGAGTATTAAAAAAAGCTCCCAAAATGATAATAATCTGTATCATAATACTATGAGTTATGTGAATTATGTCTTCTTATAAGTCAATGTGTTTTAATACGGCAATGCAATTTATACACATAGAATGTAACAGCACATGTTCACAAATTAGGTAGGTAGTCGATTATAAACCGGTTCTTAGCTACGTAGAACAGTATATTAAAATTATGCTACGTTTATTAATATTAAAATTTTATACATTAAGAATATAATATAATAAATAATAACAAAATTGTTCTAGATGAGGCGGAGAAGTTAATTATTGAATGCTTATATCGTAAGTGTAAGAACAAAATTTCTATGAATTATGTTATTATGTAAAATTAACTAATACACGTCTAATTACGACTGGTGTCACCATCAAACTTCCTCCTGTAATGGCGCGTTTTCTCTCGCTTCTAGTCGTATTCCTCGCTTTGGTATAGACATCAGAGAATTAAATAATTCGAAATGTCTCGCTCTTGACACCTTAAATAAATCTTGAAATGTCACGAAACTTTAAAGTTTTGTAAGTTGAAAAATCCGTTAAAAATTCACGGATAGAAATTCTATCTAATTTATATATGTATAGAAAATGATGATATATTCTACCCAAAAAATATCACACAAAAGTTTTAGAGCATCCTCTAATTTTGACAGTACAAATTAGAAACTCAACCAACACAATATTTAAGTTACTCCCGAAATAAAATGGAAAACCACCGGAAGCAATGAGAGAATTTCATATTGCACCAAAAGAGTAAATAGAAATAGGAAAATTATTCTTCTCATAATTATAATTCAAACCTGACCTTAACGTATAATATCTAGCTGGAAATCCGAAGAATTCCAATAAGAAAATAGCGAAAAATTATCTATGATTTTAGTAAAATTGAAATCCTATGATTTTAGTAAAGAGTCTCTGAAGAGAATACGTTCCTTATAAGCTCACTGGCTTAACGAAGCCCCGGAAGACATATCCAAAGCTTGAAAAACCGTCTCTCCATTTCTTTTTTCAATTTTCCACAACCCCCTTGCGTTGGTGTCTTCATTTTCTTTCACCCTCAAATGTCCAGATGCCCAAAAGAGTGCGAGTCGATTTTATTCACCAAATTCATTATACCAAATACATTATCCCGCAATAAAATATTGATTTATTCACCAAATACATTATCCCGCAGGATACTGGAAATTAATTCAATGCTCTGACCGTCCAACATGATCAAGATTTTCTCTATGTGATATCCTCCTTCGTGACAAGCAGATGTCAACAGCGTGAACGTCCGCCTCAAAAACGCTAAGGTACATCCTCATAAAATTGAAAAATTTGTTTCTTGCATCAATATCCCAGCAGTCGTTCCTTTAAAGGTCTTTGCCCCATTCGTGGACCACATGAAGCATGTGGTATACTATATTGTGCGATACTAGCGGATAATTTAAAAACTAGTCACTCAGCAATGAGGTGAAATTCTTCTCGAAGCTACCTCTTCTAACTATATTACTCCTAGGCAGCGAAAGGGGCGAAACCTCACCGGCGAGACAATCCTTATTCTCCGTTCCGATCATTCCCACCACATCCTTTTCAACCTAAAAATGGCTGCTTGTGCCGCCATCTCGAACTCTAGATTCATTGAGGTTATTCGCACACACACCTTCATTGCCGCTGTTTGACATGTCCTCATAGCTTCAATAAAGCAGATGCATGCAAATTTCTGTAAACTTTTCCTTCTTGTTGTTTCAAGTATCATCCTTCTGCCACAAGCCAGCGTCCAGGAGAGGTACCACCACTTGATATATATCCACCTCATGATAGATAGGAAACAACCACATATTTTCAATCTTCAGGATCTATTTTTATAAAAACCAGTTCAATTAATGGGCTCCCGAAATTATAATGTGAATATGTAGACAGATGGATTTATAAAAGACATATCTGACGCACTCGTTCGTCTCAAGTCTTTACTAACAGTATACTTATAATCGTATACTTATGGTAAAAATGTAAGCAGTTTAATAGATTTTCGGTCGAATTTCAAGAAGTTTTGATTTTTGATACATTTGAAATGTTAAAGAATTCGCATAATTGTACATGAAAGTTTATGTATGCATAACTCATGCATCTTGCACATTTTGTTAGGAACTAAACTTGAAAATAAAATAAATTCACGTTTATTCGAAAGAAGTTTATTTCAAATTAAATCCTATACATTTTTTGTTGAAATAATAATAAATTTCAGGTTAATGGATGATCGAAATAGAAGTACCAAAGTTCCTGCTAATGCGACATGTGGTCCAACTAAACATAAACCGAATGTAGGTTACAGATTAGGTAGAAGAAAAGCCTTATTTGAAAAGCGCAAACGTATAAGCGACTATGCCTTAGTGATGGGAATGTTCGGAATAATTATAATGGTAATTGAAAATGAATTGAGCAGCGCAGGTGTATATACAAAAGTAAGTGAAATATTATATTAAAACAGAGATATTAAAAAAGTTTTGTTTCCAGGCGTCTTTTTATTCTACGGCTTTAAAAACTCTCATATCAGTTTCAACAATCATCTTGATTGGTCTAATTATAGCATACCATGGCCTTGAAGTACAGGTCAGTAAAATTAAAAATTGATAGAAGTCAACATTTTTGCTCACATTTTAACAATGCTTACTTAGCTCTTATATTTCTCAAACTGTAAGTCAAAGAGATAAAAAATTAAATATTAATTTCTTTTAATTCCAAGTTTGTTTAAAATACTGTGTCTGGGAAATAATAATGCTTCTCATAAAAAAATGTTTTGATCTTTTTGTAAAGGCCAGATACTTAGAAAAACTTTGTTGCCTTTAAAAATATATGAAATAATTTGATTCAAGACAAGGTGAAATAAAGAAATTTTTTTAAAATACACATTGAGACGGCTACAAGTTTTCAGATATTTCAAATTTTTGGTTACCTTCTTAGGATACTTTCTAGGAACTAGCATCGCTTAAAAAAATCAAAATAGTGTGCGGTAATGCAAAATTTCAATTCAAATGTTTAATTAAGAATTAATCTTGTTTTTTTTGCAATTCGCTTTTTTCAAAAATGTTCTATACACGCTTTTCTTGTTAATAGATTTCATCAATATCATCTACGGAACCATCAAAAGCACCATATCTACGGAACCGATTGATGAAAATTCTTGAAATTTGATATTTGAGTTCCGCTTCTTACCGGAACTAACTGGTGAAGTTTTCACAGACTTCGGATGGCACAAAGTGAAATGTTTTTAAGAGCCGCATTTACACTTTTTTAGGTATGTTAACTAAAAGCTTGTAAAAATTATAAAGAAGTTCGAAATTCATTTGCATAATCTTTTGCAACACCTACACTAAACTAGACAATATACATTGCGGTTGGTTATGTGCTGACCAGATGAATTTTTTTTTTATAACATTAAAAACGTAACAATTAAAGATTTTATTCATAAACAAAAATGTAATAACTATCAGAAATTTTTTTTTTAAATGGCATTAAAAAAATAAGTTTCTATTAAGAGAGAAGTACATAGAGATTTAGCTCTTAGCTCCTATATACTGCTCTGAGAAGGTTGCTATCAAGTTTTGTAGTTGAAGATAATCGATTTTTTCCTGAAATGGCACTCCCTAACTCCACCGTAATATTGTTAAAAAGTAAATTTTTTAAGAATGGAAAGCAGAGACCATCACCAAGCCGAACACCTAACTTCACGAACCCAGCTGTAATTGTTAAGAAGTAAATTTTTAAAGAATGGAAAGTAGAGACCACCATGCCCAACTGCTTAAATTTATTTGAATGAAAATCCAAGCTTTATCCTATTTCAAAAGGCCTTCTTTTGCACAAGTCTTATTAAAGTTCTAAGATTTCGATAAGCTTGTACACAGCCCTTGTTCCTTTTGGTGATATAGACGCCTGCAGGGTAGGAGGTGAGGTAAAGGAAAAACAGATCTAAGCTGCAATGAATAACTCTCCGACGAGTCTTCTAGCAACTCACTAAGTCATCTAAGGACTGAGTTATTGTAGTTTAAAAATTTTGACCGCAGGAAAAAAATATTCAAGTGTAGTTAATACAAGCGTATTTAGAAAAAATTTATTAATTTTATTTGTTAAGGATTTTTCTTTGTTTTATATTATTATTTTAAGTACAATATGAGCGATAGCAAATAAAAACATACATTAGTTTGGTAATGTTTAAATTATTGTGTATAAATATTTTATAAACGAACGGCAAGGTTTAAATATAGAAGGTCTCTTCAAAAGTATGACCTTACCGTGAAAAGAAATTTTGTTGTTCTAGAAATATAACAAAAGAACTTATCTTGTTATATATTTTTAACAATAACAAAAATATCTGCAGTATCGAAGCAATGTATAAGGGCAATAATTATAATTTTAGTAATTTTAATTTTTGATATAAAGTTGGATTGTTCCGGAAAAATTAAATTGCATAAAATGCTGAAATAAATTATTATAAAAATACAAAATTTAAAATTAAGGTAGTGATGAATTACGTTAAAAGCTATTATATTAATAATAAAGTTGGGTCAAACCAATGGTTTGTATTGTAGCACTTTTCCCTTCAACAAGTGAAAATTCTGCTTTTAAATACAGTCTATGTATATACCTATCACACTATTAAAATTATGTCATTAATTTACAAAACTATTTCTAGGATTGCATATATTTAGGATGAACGATTTATGCTGTCTTTGAAATAAAGCAAAAATTAATATAAAGTGGGGTTAACATAATGCTCGATTTTAATGGTTAATTGTGTGAGTTAAGAAAAATAATTATATTTTTTAATGTCATGGAATTTACCGTTAGCTTTTTGTGTTTATAGAAATTTGAAAAAACTTACGGTTTCGGAAATATAAGGTGTCAAAAATTCAAATTTTACAAATTTACAAGGAAGCTGACTGATTTTTTAAAATTCTTCAACATTCAAAATAAAGTCAATCAATGAGCAATAATTTGAAAGGAACATGAAGTTAAATTTTAAAACAAAAATAAAAAGTTCTTGGAACTCTGCATGCCATTTCGTTTCCCTGTATCACCTGTGCAATACGTTTTGCAAGAATAACTTGAAAAAAATTTATAAAGTTTTAGTATGCAAAAGTTTGGTCTAATACTTTTTGAGAAAATATGAGAGAAAATGATGACGTCCGGATTTTCTCAATGTTTGAAAGTTTTTTTAAACTAAACTTTGGAGATTTAAGAAATTTTTAAAATATAAAGCGTATGTTTTAATCATAAATTTTTAAATCATAAGCGTACTTTCAAAATGTCAGAAAGTTTTATTTTTCGAAAGACCTTTTTTCTTCAACAATAACTGTTTTTTAAAACTTTTTAATTAAAAATTATATAAATTAAACAGAATGTATTCGTAAAAGATTTTTTCCAAATTTCACACTATTTTATCCAAAATCGATATTTTCGCCAGGTAGAAAATTGCTTATACTGATTAAAATTACCGACCGTATTGTATATACAATAGCTAGGTTATGTGATGGCAACAAATTTTGCATTTCGAGTTTTCGGTGGCAACGCACTTCTGCATGGTAGGGAAGTGTAAATAAACTATTTTTAGCAACCGGTCGGTCTGTCAGTCTGTCGGTCTTTGTGGGCATGCGTGTATCTCAAGTTCAGCTGAACCGATTTTGATGAAATCTTATGTATAAGTTTATTTTGACCATGGCACAGATTGATCAACTTTTGGAATATATCTTTTTAGCGGGCCTTTTGACGATTTCGAAAAAAAATATTCAACCGATTCACTTCAAATTTCGTATATAAACTCCACTCGACCGTCCGCGAAACGTCCTAACTTTTGCAAGGAATCAGGTGTCAGCAACTCGACGTTTACTACGGGCCAAATATACATTTTTGTGTATATAAAGAGAAATAATCAACCGATTTCATTGAAACTTCATATTTAAATTCCTCGTTTCAAAACAATGAACATATAAATTTTTTGGAAAAACCAGGGCTCGAGAACTGATCTGCGGGCCGATTTTACATTTTTTCCCAAACCTACGGAACAAATTGATGGAATTTCTTGAAATTAGATATTTGAGTTCTGGTTGTTACCGAAACTAACTGGCGAGCATTTAAGGGAATTCGGGTAGCACAATGAGAAACTCAACTGAAAGCCAAATTTCCATTTTTCTAGGTATGTTAACTATTAGCTTACAAACGCCCTACAAATTGAAAAGAAATATTTAACAGAATATTTATAATATTCTCTAACACTTTCACTTAACTAGACAATATACATTGCGGTGGGTTATGTGCTGGCCACATCAGATGTTTTGCTTGCACCTTAAATAAATTTAAAACCAACATGATACGTAAGTTATAATGAGTAAATTATGAATTTTATAAACGCATAATGTTGTTTACTAGTCTTTTTCTGTGGGAAATGTTTGATATTAAGTAGTATGATTTATGTATAGATTGGTCAGATTTTTAATAAATTAACTTCAAACCAAGCAACAAGAAGTTTTTAGCTAAAACTATATAGCATTGGGGCTGCTCAGTAGAAAATACGCAAAAAAAATGTCGCAAAATTTAAATCTGGATAAAACTGCTGCCAAGCAGAAATATTTAGGAGAGGACATCGTGAAGTTCTGATTAACTTCAGGAAAGATCCAGCTTCAATGAAAACGGCAGAATATCAAACCGCTAGGCTAGATAAACTCAACACACTGTGCAAACAGATTAATGTACACTACTTAATAGCGAGGGAATTTTGGAGTGCGAACACAAATCACGCATATTTTAAAACTGAATACCGTAACAAAGGGAACAGCTCAAGGGAACCTATAAGGCCGACCTAGAAGCATGGTACCAGAACAAAACGTAAGCCAACCCAAAGTCTCTAAAATTGAATAATGAAGAAGTTGGTTGAACTCCGGTGACTTGATAGACATAGAGACACAACAGCGTTACAAAAAGCTAATATAATAAAATAAAATTGTTTTACCGAGCTGTAAAAATTCATGTAACAAAACGATTCTGCTACAGCGTGCGTGCAGTACTTTGAAACGTTGGCAGTATGTTGGAAAGATATCATTAGATCAAAGGATGACATAATTTCTCATGCCGCAAATGAACAAGAATCAGAATACCTAAAAACTTAGCATTTCGAAAAAGTGAAAGAAAACATCAGGGAATCGTTACAAACAATTTCAATCTGGTAAGTGTGCAAGAGAACAATAACACGAGCTAAAAATACTGCAAATTAAAATACCAACGTTTAACGGCCAGTATGACTTATGGACCAGCTTTACTAACCTGTTCAATTCGCTTATGCATTCAAATAGCCAAACGGATAGTGTTCAAAAATTCCATTTTCTCAAAAGTCTACTGCCGCCAGAGTTAATAAACTTAATAAAACATTTGCTAATTTCTAATCAAAAATTACGTTAGTGCCTGGGAATTAATAACAGCCAAATAAAACGACAGAAGAATACTGTTTTCAACGTATATGAACAAGATGCTAACTCAACCTCATTTAAATAATGAAACATCAACCGGATACTACAAAGAGCGTTAAAATAGAGTGTGTTATAAAACATGTGAAACTAGAC